TGAAAACAACCCTTTGCCACTCTTTATGTTTGGAGAGGCTCAGGGGTTGTTCTCAGACACAGCAGCTCTGTAAAAACAACAAAACAGCATCATGAGACATAGACTGGTCAAGTGATGTAACTTCCTCCTGAGGCTGGCGTCAGGAGGATAAAAATTCTCAGTGAGACAGAGCACTTCCTGCCCCTTCAAAGCAATTTTTAACAGCTCTGATCTCCACCAATCAATTCCCAGTATTCAGACAGCCATTGGTTATCCATCATCTTCCTGCTTTTATTACCTCATCCTCCAGTTTTCTTTATTCCAAAGCCAAATTCCAAGTTGCCTTTATTATTATTATTTTTTTTCATTTCATTTTGTTTAAAATGATTGTCTCCCTCTCTCTCCGAGCACTCTTAATTCACAGTTTTCTCATCGTCTCCGCCGGGAACTTTTTTTCACGCCCACACGACGACACGCTTTCTTTAAAAAGATCGTGAATCATCTTGCACGGCCGATGATCTTCTCTGGTTTCTTTGGGTGGGGATTTTCGCGACCGTCACTGGCCTCACTGGACCAGTCTATGCTGCGTGAAGATGAGCGCTCTAAATTTAAACACCACCTCTCCACTGCCCCAGAGGCCAATCAGAAATATCTCAAATTTCTCACACTTCCTCCTCCTTTCTTCCTCTTCACGTCCTCCCCTCTTCTTTGTTATGTAGCTGTAAGGAACCTATGCATATACTTTTGTTGTTACTTGATAATAATAATAATAATTATTTACTGCTTTAGAACTAGATTTGCACTTTTTGAGGATGAGTTCCAGTAAAGACAAGAGCCTGAACACTCTGATGTGACAGATATTATCGTTCGCCCCGACCGACAGATCCACCTCAGGTGCAGAATTCTTCGCCCATTTTTGAGTGCTTTGGTGATTCATATTCAGAAAAAAGCGCGAGCATATCCCTTGCTATCTCTGTCATAACATATAAAGTAGTACTTGCAGTGAACAAAAAAGTGGATGTGTGAAAGGTTTGGATAAAAGGGATCTTTTTGCAGATTTTATGTGTGAAAGGGAAACAAAAACAGCGCTCCGGGGATGTTATTTCAGTGTCTTTGTATTATCTGTTGATTGTAAATGCAAACAGCAGTTTTCATGATATATTCTTGCAGACGGTTCATTTCACGAGTAATAAAAAAATAAGGTCTTTATACGCTTAATATTAGCTTTGACTTTCTTGCTCCTTCCAGTTATTAATGAAAGCTTTATCGCTGTCCTAGAAAGCAGTTACTTAATGTTTACAGTGCTGTTTTATAAACCTCAAGCTACATTAACAAAAAATATATATATGATGGAGTATTAGAGGCATAATTTAAAAGTAAACTCTTTCCAGTTTCCATTACTTTGTATTTTTTTCAGTGTTATTATTATACCTGTCTTTTTTTGTTTGGTTGTTTTTTTTTGTTTTTGTTTTTTGTGAGTGTGTGTGCGTGCGTGTGTTTTCGCTGTCTTTGTCTACGATGTCTTTAGCTGTAGTGTCGAAGGTCCTCTTGCGCTGGAGTAACGTGAGAGTGAGAGCGAGTAAACGGAGAAAGGTATAGAGAAATGGGTTCCTTGTGTGAATAGAGGACTGTGCATGTGTTTGATGCTTTGTGTAAGTCCGGGCGAAGGACAAAGTATTCAGTATTATCAAATAAAAAAAACCACAAGTTTCAAAGAGTACACGCTGCCTGTGTGTTGTCATTTCTCCTCAAGTGGGAGATCAAGTAAGTGTCACCCTAACCACATCCTGCTTGTGTCTGTGTGGGTTTCTTTCGCCCTCTTCCCACAGTCCAATGACATACATGTTAACTCAGCTGGTGATTATAAATGGCCGTGGATGTGCGGCCGATAAACTTTAAAGAACCAAGCGCCATATGAAAGGCTTATATATACACTCACGGCCACTTTATTATTTACACTTTGCTAGTGCTGGGTCGGCCCTTTTGCTTTCAGAATTGCTATAATTCTTCATGCCATAGATTCAACAAGATGCTGGAAACATTTCTCAGAATTTTGCACAGCGGCGGCAGATTTGTACATCCCAAAGGTGCTCTATTGGATGGAGAGCTGGTGGCTGTTTGAGTACAGTTAACTCATTCTTATGTTCAAGAAGTCAGTTTGATATGATTTCTGTTTTTGTGACATGTTGTGTTATCCTGCTGGAAGCAGCCATTGGAAGATAGGTATGCTGTGGTCATAGGAGGATGGACATGGTCAGTGACCATACTCAGCTAGGCTTTGGTGTTTAAATCATGCTCAGTTGATACTAAGGGGTCCTAAGTGTGTCAAGGAAATTACGTCTACACCATTACACCACCAGCAGAAGCTTGAACCACGGATACAGTTCCATCTTTGATGATGGAGTTAGTTTCTGACCCTTTTTGTTGCCTTCCTATCAGCTCACAGCAGTCTGTCCTCTACCCTCTGCCTGCTGGCATCAAATGGGGATTTTCACTGAAGGCCTGCTACAGACATCCTGTCCGGGATTTGCCTCAACTCTCAACCTTTGACAGCTGAAACAGACTTCCGTCCCCAGAAACACTGAAGACGGATGAATGGACTGACCTGCTGCTAACTGGATATTTTCTCTTTATCAGAATATTCTCTATAAACTCCCAAACTTGTCCCAGCTTGGGAAACTGGTTGTGTGCAAAAAACCTAGTAGATTAGCAGTTTCTGAAATATTCAAATGAGTCTGGCACAACAACTACACGACGTTTAAAGTCACTTAGATTACCTTTTTTCTTGGATAGGCCCAAATGCCTGAATGCATTAAGTTGCTGCTGCATGATATTTGTATGAATGAGCAGGTGTAGCTAACAGAGGGTCAGTGAGTGTAAATGACAGTGTTAGAATGCCCCAAAGTGGCTGGATTACCAATGAACCTGAGGTTTCTTCACCAAATCTAAAGATACTCAAAGCATAACCAAAAAAGAGAAGACCACAGCTGGCACTTGGTTTCAGCAGCTGCCTCTGAAATTAACTAGAAGCTACAAGCTTGTACCTCAGAATGGGCTAACCTTGTCAACTAAACTTGGACTTAAGCAAAAAGACACAATAGACTTTATTGACATAAGATTAATACTATAAAAATGAATAACTTTATTTAAAATAACCTCCTGACATGCAAACTATAATCTAAAATAAAGGTTGATGTACATATTTCAGCCTCCTCTCAATCATATTTGGTGCCACCTGAAACCTCCA